AAGCTCAAGCATGTCCGGCAAATTGTCCCAGTACATGAAATGAAGTAATGCCTGCAGATTCCAATAATAAAAAGAAACGAATAAAAAAGAAATTCAGAGTTATGCAATATACTTTATCCAAAGTTCTTCCCTTCCCCCATCGCCAGTGGTAACGTTTTACATTAACAGTTTACAAGGATTTGGCACACATTATAGGGGCTTTGCCCCTAAAAGAAACTATCGTGCTATGCAGGTAAAGGTTCTTTGAATCCCCGATTACAGCTCTTGAGAGTTGGTTCAGAAAAAAGATTATAAATTATAAATGAAGTTCATTCCATAAGGTTCTTTGAATCCCCGATACTCTTATTGAAAAGCATTTATTGCTCGCTGAGAAGTGTAGTGCATGGAATTTAGCACAATAACATGCTTGAGTCTCTGCATGTGACTAAATGCACCTATCTGCCTGTGTATGTGAGAGATAGAGTGAGAAAGAGAGAGAACCTTAAATACAGGAGCTTCAATGTCCTCAACCTTAATGCATCGTGTATCCTTATCCTTCAATGGGCCAAAAAGTTGTGCCCTGAATACAGGTGAACGTGCTGCAATGACCAACTTGTGTGCTGCAAATATTTCACTATCTACTTCAAAATTAACATCAGCACACTTACGACTTTCCAAAAGCTTCCCAAATTGCTGACCGATGTCAGAGGGAGGCGGCGTTATAGAATAGATTTTAGGCCCCTCCGTTTGTGATTTAACAACCCCAACAACACATTTAAATGAGAGGCAATCATCTTTAAGGTAATCTGATGACTCCAGAACAGTTCTTTTGAAATAACGTTTATAACCCCTGCAAATTCACGAGTGATATCCCCCTTTTCAGCCTTCATACAATCGTTAAGAAAACAATTGACACAACTTAAAATAACACACACTATATGTCCAAAAAAGAGAGAGAACGAGAACATTCATATCAACATAAAGCGTGCAATTGAAGGGACCTAAGAATATAGTACAGACTGAATATAACAGAAGGGAAAAATGAGAGAGAATCCCGAATCCACAAACATATTTTCATCCATCAAACTCAATAAATAAATAAGGTATAGATGACTGACATAGTCTAAATGAAATATTTAGAAACAAACAGCTGGCATCTTTGAAATTCTTAGATCTACAAATAATCCATTGGACTCATTAGATAGAGATATGGTCCTACCAGAAATAAAAACCAACAAAGATCCATATAGAACATTAAATCCATAAACCATCTAAAACCAGCTAGTCGACAAACATACTACGCCGAACCTTCCCCGAAACAAGTGTCATCTCTAATATGGGTTGAAGCTCAACCACTTCTAATGGACATAACATGCTTTATTTGTTTGATGTAAGTAATAAATCCAAAAATTGACCAGGAAGTAGATATTGGGAAAAAGAATTGTGCCAGCCTTAAACAGTTTACAATCTCACAACATAGCACTACATTCTATATCTACCACCTTTAGAACATAGATTGCATTTCATTCTCCATTTCGTGGCAGAAGGGTGAGTGTGCTATCTTGTGGAGCTTTGGGTCAAGAGAAACAACAAAATCTTCAAAAGGCGTGAGAGTTCTTGCAATGTTTGGTCTCTTGTTAGTTTCTATCTGGACTTCGGTTTCTAGGCTTTTTTGTAATTATTTGCTTGACTTATTTATCTTGATGGGAGCCAGTTCTTGTAGTTTGGCTTCTAATTCGTGGATTCTTTCATTTTTACTCAATGAAAGTTAAGTTTTCACATTAATTTTTTTTATAAAAAAAACCTATATCTGCCACCGTCATATATTGAAGGATGATACTTCTTTGTGGTTGGAAAGTCTATACATGAAGACCGTTAGCAAATGAAGCAAAACAATATTTCTAGTAGTTTGGCTCAAAGGATGGTTGTCTCGATATCTCATTTCTTCTATGATAACCATGAGCGTGCAGGTACACATACATCCTTGGTCCTAGCCTAATTCCTCAATAAAACCCTATGGCAGTTAGATTTTAACATTCTAAGTAGGTACCATGACTTAAAAGGTATCTAGGTTCCCAACTTGCCTCTTTAACTACTAAGCCAAACAAACAACAATTAAGGGTAGAGAATCGATCCCTCAGGTTCCTTTTCTTCAAAGTCCATGACGTGATCAATTGGCATCATCAAGTCTGATAATTTGCCCAATCTCTGTTAGTAAAATTTGTAAGTAAAAATACATAGGATGCTCGAATCCTTCGCATGGATGATGATCAATGGGAAAATCAATTCTAGTGCTACCATCCAAAGGGTCATGCTCCTCTAGCTTACAACCTCAATGGTACATTCTTTGCAAATAATGGAAACATTTGTTAATTCATCGTTTTTCTTTTTCTCCTGGCATCCAATGAAGTATGGGTACCGAAGGTTTCCAGTCAAAGTTGCATGCTAGCACGCCCTTAAGGGATACTAAAAGAAGGCTCACCTGTTGCTAATCAAGAATTGGAAGATAAAGAGGAATAGGAAGTCTCAAGAATAACTTTCTTAAAACTTGAGAGTATTGAAATTTACCTAACACCTTGCACTACTTTACGTTTCACTATGGATCCTCTTTGTGCAGCCTCCCACTAATCTTACATCTTCAGCAATTGAAGATTAACTGAAGTGTTCTATATGGTTTTATCAGCTCCACCTATTTTCATCGTTGTTGGTGATAGTCCAATTTCTCTTTTGTTTTAGTGGAAAAAGACTATAGGTTAATGGAAATTAGTATCCAGTTGAATAAGTAAATAACTAAGTACTGACAAACAATTGGATCCCAAAACCTTAATTAAGTGTAGAGTCTTAGAACCAACTCAGTCAACATTACTCATTTTATATCTCAACCGAAGCTGTTTTGAGACTTCCACAGCTTACAAGCGGATGATCAGAATTATGAACAATTTGAGCAAATAAGCATTCATTTAAGAACAATTCAAATGAATAAGCAAAATAATTACCACATGCTTCCACGATACTTGAGGGTGTATGGACCGCTCTCCAGCCTCCTTTCAAAATGGCTATGCACCTTATGATTCCCCTTTCCACTTTGATCGAAAAGCGTCAATTCAAAAAGAGCCCTAACATCGGCGCCATCGCTGACAAGCGCTATGAAAATAGAGACGTAAGCCGCGTTGTCCTCCATACTCTTACCATCGGGATAGAAATAGATAGCCCACTCGTACCCACCGACGACAAACGTATCCGATGTAATGTATTTCCCAATTCCCATACCTTTGTTGAGGGAGTAACCATTGATCTTGAAATCATGCGAAACATTAACGGTCTCGAATCGAGCGGTAGAGGAAGTCACCGGCAGAGGATGAGAAGAATTCAAAGAGGCTTTAGAGGATTCCCTAAACGGTTTAATTGTGCCCATCAACTAAGAGCTTAAGAACAACCGATCTTTTGAAATTTTGGATGACACCCTTGACCAAAAAGGCAGAATTGAAATAGTGGGTTAGGTTAAAACTTTGAATCGAAGATGGGTTTTGAAAATTTGAAGCGAAAACCAGCGGCAACGATCATGAATTTGGGTGGCGGGAGCGTTTGCGAAACTCTTACGCTGAAGGGGAAGAGGTATGAATGGAGAATCAAGAATCAGGTGGACGACGATGAACCTGGAAAGTTCAATTTGGTTTAAAAAAAACAAAAAAATCAAAGTCCAAACACGGAAATGCAAGATGGAGCTTTGGCTTTAATAAACATCAGAATCCACAGTGAAGTTTCTCGATTAACACATGATTAATTAATTTAATCATTGTTTTGTTTTTCATTAATTAATAGTTGATCCTCGGTTTAGGATTTTCTCCCCCTTCCTTTCTTACCAAATAATTGAAGGTGAGTGATCAGGATGAGATCAGCAAACGTCTCATACTTGTCTTATTAATATGGAGTTAGTTTTTTCGAGGCTCGGACTCTTGAGCATCTCTTACAGGAGAGCTTGTCATTGTGTGGCTTATAAATATGACTATTAAATTATATTCATGTTGGCTATTGAAGTTCCAATTTTCGACTTATGATTCGAGTAGACCTTGTAATTCTAAGAGATTTTAGCTCTTTAACATTTCGGGTTGGATGTCTAATTGTCCAGACGATAATATCACTATGATTATTGAGTTATACTCATGTTGGTTATTGAAGTTCTAATTTTCGATCTATGACTCAAATATACCCCTAATTCTAAAAAGTTATGGCTCTTGAACCTCCTCCACGAGAGGGCTCATCATCATCATGTGGCTTATAAATATGACTCGAGTAGACCTCCTAATTTTAAGAGACTTCGACTCTTAAACATCTCCCACGAGAGGGCTTTCATCATGTGACCCATAAATATGGTTAGACCTATAAGAGCTTATAAATGTGATATATATATATATATAATTGTTTCAAATTGTTTCTAAGAATTACTTACTGATCAGAAGTTCAGAAAATAATTCAAATGTTTAAAAGACCTTATCAAATTTAAAAAGGGTAATAAAATGAATTATTATAGTAATTAAAAATAAAATTATAGATCACATCTAACTTATACATATTATATTGATTTTTAAATATATAACGAAAATATGGATTCAGGTTAAATAATGGTAGGGAATTAGTTCTATTAGTTTAAGAGTTTGGCAGCATGATATGGGCTATCAAATTTATGTATAAATATCGAGTATCTTAAATTATTAATAAGAGTGTTCATATGACCGAAGACTCTGATCAACTTAAACTACTCTATCTAAATTATAAAGGTTTGAATTAGGTTAAATTTTTAGAAAATAAAAAAATTTGAATATTGGTTGACTTTTTTTTTTTCGAGTTAGCTGACTCAAATATAGAGTTACAACTTATATCTATTTTAAAATTATTACAAAAATGAAGAAGATTTGAAGGTGTGACTTGTGAATGTTTAATATTTTAATTTTATAAGAAATATAGGTATCACCCGAACTCAATTTCCAAAATTTTAAACGGTTTAACAGTCATGATACGGTCGGCCACTTCAGAAGCTGAAAATTTGTATAGCAATTTCATCGGTGATTCAATTTTTTTTCAATTCTCAAAGCCAAATTCCGTTTCCCAGAGCTGTTCGAGTGTGAATTGAATCGGATTCTGACTGTTCTTCCCGTTCTTCTCGCCATGTCTTCCAGATTCTTCGGCGCCTCTCTTTCCCGCTCTTCAACGCTCCACCCAAAATTCCACAACCCTAATTCCCTTCCCAATTTCCCCAAATCCAAACCCATTCAATCATTCCCTCTAACCCCACTATCGTTCTCCTCCATTTCCGAAATGGGCGATGCCCGAAGACCGATTTCCGCTACTATTCCCCCGCCCGACAAAGCCGACCGATCGGAATTGCTTCGATCCCTCGAGTTTTCACTTGGTTCCTCGTTTAGCTCGGAGCCATTGGTGCCGAATCCGAGCCCCTTAATTATCGTGATCAGTGGCCCTAGTGGGGTGGGTAAGGACGCTGTGATTAAACGATTGAGAGAGGTCCGAGAAGGGCTCCATTTCGTCGTCACGGCAACAAGCCGACCGATCCGACCTGGTGAAGTAGATGGGAAGGACTATTATTTCGTCTCTAAGGAAGAGTTTCTCGCCTTGATCGAGAGGAACGAGCTTCTGGAATACGCGTTAGTATATGGAGATTACAAGGGCATTCCCAAAAGGCAAATCCGGGACTTCATGGCAAAAGGGTATGATATTGTGTTGAGAGTTGACATTCAAGGGGCTGAGACATTGAGGAAAATTCTTGGGAATTCTGCTGTTTTTGTGTTTTTAATGGCGGAGAATGAACTTAAACTAGTGGAGAGGTTGATCAATAGGAAGACGGAGACGAAAGAGTCATTGATGGTGAGAGTTGCAACAGCTAGAGAGGAAGTCAAGCATGTTAACAACTTTGATTATGTGGTTGTGAATGCAGAAGGGAAGCTGGAGAGTGCTGTTAAGCTGGTGGAATCCATTATTGATGCCGAGAAAGCAAAGGTCTGGCAGAGAAATGCTGTCGTTTAGATTGAGATTTTGAGACATCATTTTGCAAGGTATCATTTACTTCAAAGTTCTGTTCTGAGATGAATTTATTTCTTAGGAAAGTAGCTATACAGATTGAGAAGGAATAGACTTATACATACTCTGTTTATAACTCTAGCTTCCTTTTTGGAAATATCTATTGCTTGATAGTATAGTATTGCCTTGATTCCACTGAAGTTTGCATGAGTGTAGAAGTTTTCATTATTTATGTATCCAAGACCTCCCAGTGCCACCAAAGGAGTGGATTGGGGGGTGTCACATCGATTGGAGATGGGAACGAGTGCTAGCGAGGACGCTGGCCCTGAAAGGGGTGGATTGTGAGATCCCACATCAATTGGGGACCCCCCGGTGCCTCAAAGGGGTGGATTGGGAGGGTCCCACATCGATTGGAGATGAGAACGAGTGCTAGTGAGGACGTTGGCCCCAAAAGAGGATGGATTGTGAGATCCCACGTCAGTTGGGGAGGAGAGTGAAACATTATTTAAAAGGGTGTGGAAACCTCTCCCTAACAGACGCGTTTTCAAAATCTTGAGGGGAAGCTTGAAAAGAAAAGTACAGGAAAATATTTGCTAAACCCTGTTACAGTGTTGGTATGAAAATGGAAGGAAATTCATTGAATGTGTTTGAACCTAGATCTCTAGTGGAGGAGTATCAGTGGGATGGTTGATCTTGCTTTTTGGCAAAAACTGACTTTGTACTAACCTAATGATTTAAGAACATTTGAAAATCAACATTGCCAACTTAATGGATTATACCAGCCACTAAACTACTTTTCGTTTTGAATTTCATGAATCTGATCCAACTGACATGTATTGCTTAGAGCCAGACATCGAGCAGTGTGCTTGCAAAGACACTGAGCCCTAAAGGGGTGGATTGTGAGATCCCACGTCGGTTGGGGAGGAGAATGAAACATTCTTTATAAGGGTGTGAAAACCTCTCCCTAGCAGATGCGTTTTGAAACCATGAGGTTGACGACGATACGTAATGAGTTAAAGCGGACAATATCTTTTAACGTTGAGCTTGGGCTATTACAAATGGTATCAAAACCAGATACCGAGCGGTATGCCAGCGAGGACGCTGGGCTCCCAAGGGGGATAAAATGTGATATCCTACATCGGTTGGAGAGGAGAACAAAACATTTCTTATAAGGGGTGGAAACCTCTCCCCTAACAGACATGTTTTAAAACCGCGAGGCTGACGGTGATACGTAACGAGCTAAAGCGGACATATCCATTTAGCGGTGGGCTTGAGCTTGGGCTTGGGCTGTTACAGCTCAAATCAACTGAACTACCTAGATTCTTTCATTTTTTTTCCGGTTTCAGCTTGTGCTCCTACTTTTGGCTCAAATGTTATGTATATTCATCATTAGACCAAAAAACTCAAGCTAATCTATTATAGCCTAAACAGTCGTTTTTATCGTCTTTTCGAACAATAAAAACAACGCACAGGAGAGACGGTCCTCCGAAATGGAGTATGTATTCCCTCCAGCTCTCATGAACTGGAGGGACACCGGCATCCAAACCTCATATAACTGGATTGGACTCTTCTGGGTACCATTTTGCATATGTCTTGACTTACAGTCATCATCATCCCCTGCAGGTATGATTATCCTCACTTGAAAAAGGCGAAGGCTGATTTCAACTACATACGTCGGGTCTTGCTCGTACCGACATTCACAGTTTTATTTTTCATTCTAATACCCAAACGAAGGTTGAACTCGAACCTATATGAAGTTCAGATTAGTCTTGGCAGTTGAACAATAATCTCAGGCAGCATAGAGAGGACTCGCTGCTCCAGGAAGGTATGCATTTATCAGTGTACCATGGTAATGCTAATAAACTTTACACGTCCAACATGGGTTTGTAGCAATTATGATCCGAACTGAAATGACAATAAAGTTCTACCTTTCTGGGGCTTCTGCACTGTTTCTGTCAAATTTGGGTGAAGGATCTAGCTGCATGTTTGAGTGTATTAGTCGAAGTGCGTGGAAATTGAACTAGGTAGGTACTCTTACGATATTAAAAGAAAGGCTGAAGACTAACAGATATTGTTCTATTTAGGCTTTTCCACCATTGTAGAGGATGTTTTGTTCCCGTCTCTAACCGATGCGTGATTTCACAACTTTTTAAACTTAAAAAATTATTGCTCGGGATATCGAAAAACTTAGAAATTTATGTTCGGAAAGCAATTCCATTTGCAAGATTGTTGTAAGAGGTATTGAGTCAAAAGTTTTGGGTAGAGGAAGTTGTGAAGTAAGGTGCTTAGAAAAAGGGTCTTATAACGTAAAACTAAAGAGAGACGCGCATAAATAAAATATGGGGATTTCCCACAGCTTGCATTTTCATACTTGTACTCCAAGGCTTTGGGATACGCCTCACTTTCAAAATTCCTTCTTTGCTTGGCTCTTATTTCTTCCTTTAACTTCACACAAAATAACTCTATTTCCACACTATTTCTTCTTCAATATTTTAGGTCTAACGGATTTATTCGTTCATCAACTCGAAATTGAGACATGTTAACATGAGAGTTTCTGAATTGGGTATGTTTATGAGAAGACGTTCGATTTTAAATTCTATTTTGGTCTATCAACTTTTAAAACGCCTATTTCAAATTCAGAAACTTCAAATAATATTGATAAACTGTTTCATATTAGGAGATTTAAGACCTGAGTTTTTAATGATTCAAAATCACATGCAATCAAATTGATTTTGAATTCCTGCACGAAAAGTGTGAGGTCCCATAATTGGAGAGAGGAACGAAACATTTCTTATAGGTGTGTAGAAACCTACCTAGTAAACACATTTTAAAACCGTGAGATTGACGACGACACGTAACGAGCCAAAGCGGACAATATTTGTTAGCGATAGGCTTGGACTGTTTCAAATGGTATCAAAGCAGAGCAGTGTACGAGGCACACTGGCCCCAAGAGGGGTGGATTGTGAAGTTTCACTCGGCTGGAGAGGGGAACGATAATTTCTTATAAGGGTGTGAGACTAATATCTCTCATTAGTAGACGCGTTTTAAAAGTGTGAGACTAATATCTCTCCCTAGTAGACGTGTTTTAAAAGTGTGAGACTAATATCTCTCCCTAGTAGACGCGTTTTAAAAGTGTGAGACTAATAATAATACGTAACAGGCCAAAACAGACAATATCTTCTAGCGGTGGGTTTGAGCGGTTTCAATAATCAATACTTTAAGAATTTCAAAATTATTCTCAAAAAAAGACTCGAAAGTCTCCAAAAAGTAGTATTGGCAAAAAGGCACTTGCTTTGTGAATGAACTCAAAAGGTCAATACGTGGAATGACCCATTAGACTATGAATGAGGAAATTGCTTTCATCAGACTTCATCAGTAAGCATTCAAAATCTACACAAAGAAAACATAGAAGAAAGGGTTAAGAAGTTCTCGACCTTTTGGATGAAGGAACTCGTCTCTACTTGCTCCACGTTAAAGGGTGTTTGTTTTTCTCTAAGAACTCCAAGAACTTCTGAGTAAATCCACAGAAAGAGAAGCCACTTCACGTTACTCCTTCCATTTCCAAAACAAGCCGTGCCCACTAAGCTTTCATTGCATATAAAACCACCAGACTTTATCCATAGCTCAAACAGAAACAGCATCTCAAGTTTCATCTCACAAAAATCTTCGGCTTTGTGATCGGCTTCAAGAACATGGATGGTGGGAAATCTCCGACAGGTGATCGGAACGACGTTCGTTTGCAGATATCAGAAACTGGCAGTGGGAACACAATGTTTGAGCCGAGGGCCAATATCACGATGAGAGAAAGTAGTAATGTGGACTTTGCATCACCAATGAAACCTGCAGTCCGTGCACCGGAGAAGAAGCTGACACTTTTTGCTCTCCGGTTGGCGGTACTTGAGAAAGCGGCAACAGGGCTGGGAACTCTTGGGTTCATCTGGGCAACTGTGGTTCTTCTTGGAGGTTTTGCTATAACATTAGATAAAACTGACTTTTGGTTCATCACTATTATTCTGTTGATTGAAGGAACTCGAATATTCAGCCGGAGTCACGAGCTAGAATGGCAGCACCAAGCAACATGGTCGATTGCTGATGCTGGTTTAAACAGCTTTCGGGCACTGAGGGCCAGCTCCCACTTCCTGGTTGAAAAGATCAAAGCAACTTTCAAGTCAGTTATTGCATTGGGAAAGCAAAGTCGAGGTCGAGATATAAGAGGAATTTCAAATGCTAGCAACCGAGGAATGTCGGAGCAGTCGAAGATACCAACTCGGCAATGGAGCACATCAGATGTTCCTCTTTTGCCATATGCTCAATGGGTTTTCCTGTCAAAAAACATCAGCAAACTTCTATATTGGCTTCAGCTTATATCTGCAACAGCTTGTGTGGTGCTCTCACTAATGAAATTGATCAAGCACAACTATGGCAATATAGCAAAGGGAGACACGGACAAGAGGAACAGGCGCGCTGCTCTCAGCATCTTCTATGGCTTGGCATTGGCAGAAGCTTTGTTGTTTTTAATAGAAAAGGCTTACTGGGAATGGAAGGTTATCTTCAGGAAGGTATTGGAAAAGGTGAATAAAGAATGTGAATTGGGTCCTCCCGGCATGATCTCAACAAAAAGATTCTTTTACGACGCATATTCAAGATGTGTCAACGGAAGTATTTTCGATGGCCTGAAAATGGATATGGTCTCTTTCGCAATGGAGCTCCTAGATTCAAGTTTTCCTGATGAGCAGCTCATCGGAGTGAGAATTCTTAGACGGTTTTCGATGAACCAGAGATTTTCTGATGACACACTTGAAAAGATAGGGGTGAATCTTGCTGTTATAGAAAGATTAGTGGAGATGTTGAACTGGAAAGACCCACAAGAAGAAGAGATCAGGCTATCAGCAGCTGAAATACTGTCAAAACTAGCAGGAAAAAAACAGAATTCATTAAGAGTTGCTGGCATACCTGGCGCCATGGAGTCAATATCATCTTTACTCCACAACAGTCGAAGCTCCCACATTTCTCCAGATGAAATAAGCGAAAAGAAGATCCTCCACGACCGTGCGAACTATGCATTCTGGACATTCAATCACTTGGGACTTGTCATTCTAAAAAAACTTGCACGAGACCACGATAACTGTGGTAAGATTGGAAACACAAGAGGCCTCCTGCCAAAAATCATAGATTTCACTCACGCAGACGAAAGGCTATTGAAAGACGAACACGTTGCGCCATCACAGATTCAAACAGTCAAAAGATCACTGCAAGTAGTGAAGATGCTGGCAAGCACGACAGGCACGACAGGAAAATTTCTCCGGAATGAGATAGCTGAGATAGTTTTTACAATCAGCAACATCAGGGATGTACTGCGGTATGGCGATAAACATCCATCACTTCAGCAACTAGGCATTGAAATCTTAACCAGTTTGGCGCTGGACGAGGATACAACCGAGAGAATCGGTGGTACTGGTGGCATTCTAAAGGAACTGTTCAGAATTTTCTTCAACAAAGAGATAGCGGAGACTCACAACCATGCAAGGATAGCGGCTGGAGAAGCACTGGCAATGCTTGCATTGGATAGCCAAAGCAACTGTAATCGAATTCTGAAGCTGGAGGTGCTGGAAAACCTGGTACCAACTTTGGAGATTCCGTTGCTTCGCGTGAACGCTGCACGAATATTGAGAAATCTGTGCATTTACAGTGGCGCAGAAGGCTTCAACAAGCTCAGGGGAGTTGCAGCTGCAGCTTCAACAGTAAGTAATCAAAATCAAACGCTTCCTTTTCCATTAATACTAACCAAATACATTTCTTTGACACTTGAGTTAATGAAACTAGTGCAAGGAAGAACAAATATTATCATACTTTTCTTCACATATGCATATATTGCATTAAAAGCTTGCTACAAATACATACAAACAAGGTTGACTGATACTTTTCCTTTGATTCAGAAGAACTTTACATCTTCAGAATTGGTTTATACAGAAAAGGAATTTTTACACCATTCAAGTGATTATTACCTAGATTTGTTCATATAATCCATATCAAGGTTTTAGGTTATCTCTAGGGGATGTAAAGTTTTTTTGTTTGCATCTTAATTTGTGTAAATTATATCTGGCTTATAGATTACGATTTGAAAAACTAGATTCAAAAGCCTGAAATTAGTCACATATAAGGGCATTTTTAGATATAATTTACTGTTTATCATAGCGCGTTAATCTGAATTTAGCTTCTGTTTCATCCTTATCTCAATCCTCATCTTCGATTTCAGGTGGTTCGGGCAATCAAATCAGAAGAACAGAAACTACAGGAAGTAATGATCGGACTATCAGCACAAATTTTGAAATTCACAACATCCTACGAAGCCGCCATCACATTCGAGAGGGCCGGCACGACGCAGGCCGAATTGGCGGCAATATTGGTCCAGATTCTAAAGAGGCATAAAAATCCACCAACTAAAACGCCGCAGATTCGGCGATTCGTAATAGAAATGGCGATTTGGATGATGAGGGAAAAAACAGAGAACATACATTTCTTCGAGGAATTAGGGATGGCGAAGGAACTGGAGGCCGTCTTGGAAACCACTTCGGAGCTTGAAAGCTTCAATATCTTCTCCGGCACCGTCGGGCTGAGCCGCCACCGCATCACGATGCATTCGCTCGCTGAAACCGCATTGGGCCTCTTGGGAAGATGGTGATTTGCATCGTTCATCTGGAAAAAAATGGCGTTAATTGGCGCCATAAATTCTCTCCATAATTCTTTCTGAAAAAAAAAAAAAAAAAAAACCGTGATGTTTTTTCTTTTGGTTGATTCTTTTTTCTAATAATTCTTTGCCACTTTTTTTCTTTTTAGTTCATCATGTTAAATTATAAAAAATATTCCTAAATCATTGTTATCATTTTTTTTATTTATTTATGAACTGTATATATAATCGTTTATGAATTTTGAGCATTTTAATCGTTAAAATTGTGTATGTATTTAAAAATTCTAGATTAAATTATACATAATATTTATCGATTATGTTTATAAGCTTCTAAACATGTTTCATTTTTACTTTTAAATGTTGAAATTATTCTTAAAAAAATATATTTTTCATTAAAATAAATATGAAAAAACGACTCTAAGAGTAAAAAAAATTTAAATTTGTATTTATTTAGTTTTTAAATTTAAAATTTCTGTGTAATTACAAAATTAAAAATTTTAGATATTTTTAAAATATAGAATTAAAAATTAAAGATTCTATTGAGTAATTTGAAAATTGAAACATTTTTTAAATTTCATTCTAAATATATAATTAAATTTTTTAAATTGCTACTCAAAATTTAGGGCATTTTGCTAAATATTTATTTAATTTGTATTTAAGAATTTAGAAATTGTAGAAATTCAATGAATAAAAAGGAGAAATAAATACCTGAAACATATTTTAATCAACCACCATATGAATCAATGGATCAAATTGAAATAAACAATAAACACAGAAGTAGAAAAGTTGAAACTTAAATGAAATTATGTAAAGGATTAGTTTATCGAGTTCATAAGATTCTCTCCATCCCATATAGTTTTCAGCTGTTAAGAGCTTTAAATATCAATAATTAGGAGTAATTTAATGCTTAAATCAGTCAAAATCAAGCAGGATTCTTCAATATTCAACGAAAACGTTTGAAATACCTTTTATCTCTGGATTGCGAAAACTCAATTTCCTCCATTCATCCCGCGGCTCTATCCGCTTTCTAAAAGCCAACAAATGCGATTCAATAGGATCTTCGCCTCCATTTTAACACCAGCCACAAGGAATCTCTATCTCTCTACCCTGCATTCCTCCATTATCGGTGAAACTCAGTTCCTGGTCTGTGTTTTCCGGTAAGTTTTTTGTGTTTTCACTATCTGGATTTGTGGTTTTGTTGTGGATTCAGGCGAATGTGGCCTCGTTTTACAGTCCGATCCGTTTTTCCTTCCGATACTATTTGTCGACTGTTGCTTTGTTCTTGGAATCGTCTGAATGAATCAAATGAACAGATGACTTTGCAGTGTTTAGGTCTTTCATTTCATTGACTGTGGAGTTATGAACAATGAACATTTGGAGGATGAACTGAGAAGGATGTTCATCTTTTAAGGATGGATCTTCACTTTTGATAAGGATTATGCTGAAATTTTAGGTTCGTTTGAAGATTTTGATCTTTGAGTGCTCTCTTTTCAGCTAGGTGCAAAGAATGGCTCAAATTTTAGCTCCATCCGTTCAATGGCAGCTGAAAACTAAACAGACTTCTATGAGTGCAAGCTCCATTACCCCTAAGATGTGGAGTTCTTTGCTTCTGAAGCAGAGCAGTAAAGTAGCAGTGAAGAGCTCTGCAAAGTTCAGAGTCCTGGCTCTCAAATCTGATGGCAGCACTATCAACAGGATGGAAGATCTGCTTAATCTCGACGTTACTCCTTATACCGACAAGATTATTGCTGAGTATATCTGGTATATTTCGTTCTACTTTGTGTATCATGTATTTAACTTATCACGCTGCATATTAAATTACTTTATGTGAGATTCCACATTGGTTGGAGAGGAAAACGAAACATTTTTTATAAAGGTGTGGAAACCTCTCCCTAGTAGATGCGTTTTAAAAATCTTGAGGGGAAACTCGAAAGAGAAAGTCCAAAGAAGATAATATTTGCTAGCTATGAGCTTGGACCGTAAAAAGTATTTTTCAAAATCTTTAACCTTTGTGGTTTGCTTGTGATATAGGATTGGAGGATCTGGCATTGATTTGCGTAGTAAGTCAAGGGTATGATGTCTCCTCGTTCTGATTAAACTGTAAAAATCTAATATTTCAATCGACCCTCGTCGTTCTTATTTTGTTTTGTTCGTGATTCGATATTATCAGACCATATCGAAGCCTGTTGAACATCCATCTGAGTTACCAAAGTGGAACTATGATGGATCTAGTACTGGACAAGCACCCGGAGAAGACAGTGAAGTCATTCTATAGTATGATCTAAGACATCAAACAATTTTTTCTTCATCATATAACAGTTAGTACCTTCATTTGACTATCATGAACTTATCATTTCTATCCAGTCCTCAAGCAATTTTCAAGGATCCCTTTCGTGGTGGCAACAACATTTTGGTGGGTGACACAAGGTTTAAAGAACAACCTAAACCTACCACTAGTAAATATTGTTCTCTTTGAGCTTTTCCTTTCGGGCTTTCCCTCAAGGTTATTAAAACGCATCTACAAATGTATCCGAGTTAGTCACCAAACGGTGTGAGTAGAGCTAGACTCTCTCCATAGTAGGCTTACATCTAATCTAGACTCTCTCCATAGTAGACGTTTTTTAAAATAACCTCGAGGGAAAGCCGAAAAAGAAAAGTCCGAGAGGTCAATATTTACTAACGGTAGGCTTACATCAAATCTTTATGCTCATGGACGAAGTTCAAACTATTGCTTCAATATCATATATCTGACATATATACGTTCTTGTCATCCAATAAAGGTTATTTGTGATGCATACACACCAGCTGGTGAGCCCATCCCTACAAACAAACGCCACAGAGCTGCTGAGATTTTCAGCAACAAGAAGGTTGTGGATGAAATTCCCTGGTTAGTACTCCAATTAAGTCGAGTACTCTCTGCAGTACTTGATGAAAAGCAATATTTAACTTTACATAACTGATTATAGCAAACCTTATTGAGTACTTGTTTCTAGTCTCTTATATTTTCGGATGTTTATCCATTTCTATCAAGTCATGAAGTTCTGGGCATTTCACTATCATATAAACGTAGATCCTCTAATGGAAATGCATGTCTGTAGTTGAGAGAGCGCCTATTTGCCGTCCTTTTAAGATGGTCGTTTGTTAGGGACCGAAGGGGATGGATTGTGAGATCTTACATCAATTGAAAGGAGAACCAAACATTCTTTATAAAGGAGTGGAAACCTTTCCCTAGTATACACATTTTAAAAACCTTGAGGGAAAGTCAGAAAGAGAAAGTCCAAAGAAGACTACTAGTATCGGCTAGCAATGGAGTTGGGCGGTTACATGAACATGATTTTCTTTTCATCTTTTGGTGTACTTATCCAATGCAGAATACTGAAACCATTGTAATTCAGGTATGGTATAGAGCAAGAGTACACCTTACTTCAAACAAATGTGAAGTGGCCTTTAGGTTGGCCAGTTGGAGCTTATCCTGGTCCTCAGGTTGGAGTTCTTTTGATATCACCTTTACAGTTTCATTACCCTGCATCATTATACAATCTATCACATTAACTTCATCTGTGCAACGAATTCTTGTTCATGGTAGGGCCCTTATTATTGTGGTGTCGGAGCTGATAAGTCGTTTGGCCGAGACATATCAGATGCCCACTACAAGGCTTGTTTATATGCCGGAATCAACATTAGTGGCACCAATGGAGAAGTCATGCCTGGCCAGGTTCTCTCTCATTCTCACTTATGTCTTCAACTATAAACATAAAGCTGCTATATTGCAATTCTTGTAATATATTAAATCTACTACAATTCCCATGCAGTGGGAGTATCAAGTTGGTCCTAGCGTCGGGATCGAAGCTGGAGATCACATTTGGTGTTCTAGATACATTCTTGAGGTAACTCATCCCTGTTAGTAGATGGTTAAACAGAACCTTGGAGAGTCCAAACTTCTTTCCTTTCAAGAGTTAATTTGAGCTTGTTCATGCTTATTAGAGTATATGGAGTCATGTTTTCTTCTTGTCTTGACAGAGGATCACTGAGCAAGCCGGGGTAGTTCTCACACTTGATCCAAAACCAATTGAGGTAGTAGCTTGGTTAACTTAGGTACTACTTATTCTTGAAATTCACTGGTCAAATGCACTTGTCTGATTCCTCATCTTCATTGGCAGGGTGACTGGAATGGAGCTGGATGCCACACCAATTACAGGTAATTGGATGCGTTCTCTTTCATTGAAGAACAATGCAACATTTATATAATTAACGGCAGATCCGTTCTTATTCAGTACAAAGAGTATGAGGGAGGAAGGAGGCTTCGACGTCATAAAGAAGGCAATTCTGAATCTGTCTCTTCGCCACAATGAGCATATCAGTGCCTATGGAGAAGGGAATGAGAGAAGGTTGACAGGAAAGCACGAAACAGCAAGTATCAACACCTTTTCCTGGGTATGTACTAAGATCTGCTACACTTGTTTGTACTGAACAGTAATGTTTGGGACATGTTTGAAAATTCTGCTGAAAATTCCAACTGCAGGGAGTGGCTAACCGTGGCTGTTCGATCCGTGTGGGACGTGACACTGAGAAGCAAGGCAAAGGTATTTGTTACATCATTACAGGAAGAAAAAAATTTCTCCTTCCAAGTGATTTTAGGCCTTAGCTTTGTCTTTGAGTATGCAGGAAGGCCAAAATTCATTGATTTTACTCTGTTCTTGTGATGTTATCATGGAATAGGTTATTTGGAAGACCGACGTCCTGCTTCAAACATGGACCCGTACGTCGTGACCTCACTGCTGGCAGAAACAACACTACTATGGGAGCCAACACTTGAAGCCGAGGCACTGGCTGCTCAGAAACTGTCATTGAAGGTCTAGAGCCAATGAATCATATTTGGTCTTGTGGGCAAAGTTCTAAGTCGATAAATTTACCAAAACCTGCAGAAGAATTTTCCTCATTCTGTTAGATAATTTTTGTAAATAAAGGTCTTTAAGTCTTCCAGTCAAAAAAAAAAAACAAAAAGCTTTTGAAGCAACAAAAAAATCTTCATCTATTTACTTTGTAGATGGTATGGCTTGTTTCTGATTGAATATGATGCAGATGTTCATTTTATTTGAATGCTTGTTCAATTGGATTCAGACAGTGCCCCTTGATCAGTTATCACCTGATTATGAATTTATGCACACATTCTTCTTGTTTTCTGATGGATTCAGTCATCGATCTAAATACGACAACAGGTTCAAATAAAAACAAGGCAATGAACTTCCAAGGTGCAAACTTGCAGTTTCAGACCAGATTCTTTGGAATAACGATGTTTGTACTGCATTTAAAGCTCAACATAGAGCAAGCATAGACAAGAACAGATAGTTCCAGATAGATGAATTACTTGGTAAGAGAGGAAAAAAAATGCTTACAAGCTTGCAGTATGTGAGCTCAGGAGTACCATTCTTCTATTAGAATATTCCCAAGGGATCGATCTCAAATAACGAAACAGAACTCCACCATTTTCCTAATGAAGAAGATGCATCACAAACAGAAGAACTAACAAAATCCTTAAAAAAAAAAAAGCCACAGAAGAATCACAGATCTTCAGACAACAAGCAAATTCAAGAAGAATCGAACTAAAAAAAATTCCCCGTCTCTCAAATTACCTGGTAAGATGTGTCAAGTTAGCGCCCAAAAGCTTGTCCATCAATGAAGAGAGAGAACCAGGGAGTTACGAGATTGCAAAGACGCCATACCTCCGTCCCAATTCTCTCTTTTACAACGTACTAAACTCCCGGAGATTTCTTATGCTTACATTTTGACCCAAGGTAGCGCCGTTAACGGCCGATTTTTCTCCATCTCCGTCCGGCTACGCTCCTTGCCTTCTTCAACCTTCGCCCCTTAGGGCTTGACCATGCGCTAGGCCAACAATTAATCGCGACACTCTGAAATAGGCTCAGACACCGTAGCGATCTGGTTGGTGTCTTGATCCAAGGGCTAAAAGAGTGTCAATCATGAACAATGGAGGTTGATTATAGCATCTTCGTCGTCTTTGTCGTCATCTCTGCCAGACTGCAACTGCCCATCCACCGACCCACTCTGAAATGTTTGAGCAATGGCGTGAAGCGGTTCCTCCATTTACAAACCCTACGGATTCTTAATCGCTCTGAAACTTAACTCTTCTTCGCCTGCAAATGGAAAGAAAGTCGTCGCTAATCCGTAGATTGGTATAATTGATATCAAAGAATGCTGTGCATTTGGTTCTTGCAAGGAAAATTAGAGCTAAGGAAACGAGGACGTACATTGAGCTCATTTTCATCTGGGTTGGGAATCTCCAGAGTGGGAAATCGATTTCAGCCGCCATAGCCACTCTTCTTCGGATGAAAATCTGGTGGGTACATAAGGTCATCAATGAAAACCAAAAAGTTGGTTTGTAAATTTACATTTTTTTTTTTACCACTCAATTAACTCGAAAATAATGTTAGAATTCATCCCAACCCTATTTTAAAAAAGATTTAAGAATATTTAACCAATAAGTTTATAACTTACAAAACCTTCTTTGTATGGATTGTTAACCATTTTTACAACCTCTCCCTTTCCTCCCATCCATTTGTCTCTTTACTTACAATCTATATCTGAACAAAGCTACCATTTCTTTTGTAAACGTTTTTGTTTGATCGTACAAATCTACATTAGTTTTCAAGATACCCAATACCTCAGCTGATGCAAACAGATGACACCCACTGTTCGATGCAAGAGAAATTGTCAACTTCCAAGTGAATGTGATCTGCAAACAAAACCCAGAATGAGGTAAATAAAGAAGCCAACTTATAGATGTCAAAGGACAATGAGATATGAACAATATGCTTTATCAACAAAACAAAACACTGTACTCACAAAATCATGGATTCTACGAACTGGAAGTTGAATAAAAGTGTGTTGTTTCTTCACGGTTTAGCAGGTTCATCTTCATCCTCAATTTCCCAACTCAGATCCTCCTTTTCCTCTGCCATAATTAGCCGCTTGTGCAAACCAATTCTTTGTTCATTGTTGCCTCTGGCCTCCTCAATGATTCCAATGTCTTCAATTTCGTCCCATCCAAGTTCTTCCTCTTCCCCGAGCTCACTGGAAATGATTGAAATGTCACTATCTCTGCAGGAATCATCACTGTCTCCTCTTCCATCTGCAGCCATAGCCATTTTCTCTGAGCTATCAATCTTCACATTTCCCTTTCCTGTTTTGGCACTCTCTGAACTGTTACTATCTCCCTTCTCAGTACTCAAGAGTTCCACTGGATTCAATATTTCCTTCCTTTACATCATCTTCGTCTACATCCCAACTCAAATCTTCCTCATCTTCTGCACAAATGGCTCTCTTCACAAGCTTAACTCTGGCTTCTTCTGCTTGCTTTAGCTTGTGAAGCCTGTAAAAATACCTACTCCAACACCTAATGGACGATGGTGCTTGGAACAACCGTCCGATATGTCTCCCGAACATCATCACTCTCTTTAACCAAATTATCAATTTCCACTTCCTTGACTTCCAATACGAATCCTAATTTCCAATTCTTGTAATTCTCTAAATCCTTAGGTTCCTCCAAATATGTATTTAGGTCACGCTGAACCGCAATTAATTGCGTATTGAACCTATTATACTGTTTGAATTCAAGTTTTCTAGTCGTGCTACTTCCTAATTGCTTTAACGAAAGAACAACATCGCTGCTATTTTCATGCTTTTCAGAAACAAGATCAGAAGCTAAAAACGTTTCCCTACCATGTGAGATAATCTTCGACGTCGATTTCCAGACGGCGATTCCGATATCGTCTATAGCTTCGCCGACCGACTCCAGCGATTCCTGCACAACAGACGCGCCGACATCAAGCGTCGTCGGAAGATCCTTCACAGCACGCGATGCGACTTCGCGGATCACCGACGTCTCCTTCCTCAAACCGGATCCTAATTCCTCAAGATCACGGCGGTAGTTCGAAATTACAAATTCCGACTTGGTCGCGAGAGTCTTAATGAGGCCACCAAAGCTCCAACTAGTACTCGGATTGGAGATATTAGAAACCGAACCGCCGTCGTCATGTTCCTCCTCAGAATCAGACCGTTCCGACGCTCCGTCGCCGCCGGGGAAGACGGAAAAGAGATACATTGAGCAAATTGAACAGGTGAATATAGAAATGCGAGCCTTCAAAACTTACAGAGTTTCCTGGGAAAAAGCCTGTTAGGGGAGGGCAAAAGTGTAATAACAAGTATTTATTTAAATAAAATTCCGGTGGGCAATTTATTTAAATGGATTTTTAAAAAATTAAAAGGAAATAATTTTAACAAATTAGTTTCAGTTCTACAAATGAGTTAATTTAGTTAGATTAATTTATGTCAATAGCCATTAAAACTAAACTAATTAGTTTTATTGTTTTTATTTAAATTTCAAATTAACCTTATATTTTTTCTAAAATAAATTTTTAATAATGAAATTTGGTTTAAGATAGATTTATTACTATTATTTCTTTCTTAAATAAATTATTAATTTCCTATAATTTTTTTCTTCACTTTAATTGAATAATTACAAGTCTAATATCAAATAATTAGTTTCTAAAATAATATTATGTATTCTATTATGTAAATGAACAAATTTTTATTAATATTTTAAATTTTAAATAATTTAAAATTAACTTTGACTAATTGTGATCCTAACAATTTAATTTTTTTTTTACATTATTCATAATTATTTTTGTAACTAAATATATATATATATATATATTAATTTTATTATTATTGTTATTTATTTATTTATTTTTTATTTTTTTTGTCTAATCTAATTATACTAAATTTATAAAATTTGGTGGCATGGTTCAAGGTCCATCTCTTAAAATGGGCCTAGTCGGCCCATCTCTATAAATTTAAATATATTTATAATTATATTAAGAAAATAAAAAATATGAGGGAAAAATTAATTTTTTATATTTTTATTTAAAACTTATAAATTGAATTCGTTGAAAATTTTATTTATTAAAAAAAAAGTCAGCTATATTAAGTAATTTTTTTTTTTAATAATTTGATTACTTGTTATTTTACCATCATAATAATAGTAATAAAATAGTTTATATTATTTATATTCCACCATAGTCCCTATTGCACGTGTACGATACCGATACCAACCAGCAGTATAAAAGTCAAAATTTGGAAAGGGAATTATCCAAAGTGAAAAACGACCCAACTTGTAGTTATCGCTAGCTGAATGGAACAAATCAAGCACAACCACATCGATGAATATGATCCAAAATAAAATCTTTATAAAGAGAGTCGGACTTTATTTTTCTTCCGTATGTAAACGTTTAAAGAATTTATTAAATTTAAATAAATGAATATTTTTATTTTAATAATTATTTTGGATATGGTTATTTGTTATGGCCACCAACCCATTACCTTGAATTGTTACAAATAATGGGGAATTTTAGGTGGTGGAGGTCAATTTTTATCGAGGCAATTTTTTGGGCATGCTACATTGCCACTCATTTTTGCTTATTAATGCTAGTGGGAGAGAAACATAAGGTATATGTGCTTTAATATTACATTATTAATTAGGAGATTTTATATTTTTTTTTAACTCATCTTAATCATTTTAATCCTGTTTTAGTTCATAAATCTTTACCTCTCTTCACAATCCCGTAAAAATATCTATTTCAAAAGACCCTATGGACGGTTGTGCTTGGAAAGACTGCCCGATATGTCCTCTGAACATCATCACTCTCTTTAACGACGGTCAACGAGAGAGATTCGTAGGACACCCATTTTATCTTTTAAAGTATGGGATTGTCTTGTTACGGTCCGTATCATTTTAAAAATAAATAGTAATAAATATTGATTATGGTGTGTTATATCAAAATAAAACCCTATTATTGATAAGATTGACTAAAAGAAATAATTTTTTTTTAAAAAAAGGAAAAAAGAAAAACATGATTAGATTACAAATATGCAAAGGTAGGCGTGCAAGCCATGTGTGGCGGCTGAAGAGGAACAGTTTTGCCCACAAATCCAAGTGTCGCACATGGGAAGGCTATACGGGGCCGACATGTCGGAATATTGAAAGAACCCGTACTAGGAAGCCAAGAAAGCCCACAATTCCGCCGTCGCCGGTGGCTGTTGGAGAGCACTGCGGTGGCGCTGAATGATGAGAAAGAATGTGTAGTGTATTAGTGACACATCATATTTGCTATTGTGATGATTAACTTGACTCGATACCACTTGACCTATTAAGATCAAGCGTCTCGAAATGGCAAACGGGACCTCGGAGACTGTGAAGTCAAATTGGGTTGTAGGTTGTTTACTCAAAAGGGTAACAAAAGTCTCGGATATCACCGGTGTCCCATCATATGAATTTGATAACCGTATCAAGCTGAATAGGTATCAGTAAAGGAGTCGACTCTCAAATATAGGATATGTAATATGACCGTACATTGCTTGGCACCAATTTATGCTCGATATTAACATAAGCATCAAAGCGTGTTGGGCAAAGCACGAGACTGTCGGGTGGGGTTGGCATGCAAGAAGAAGAAGAGGTGGGATGGTGGTCATAATGTGGTGTTGCCTGTGCCACCCACATTCCCTTCTTCTTCATACACTCTCCATAACCTTTTTCTTCCTAACTCTTTTACTTTCATCATTCTTTCTCCCTTTCTTTAACCCTTTTATCACCCACTTTCTGCATTCTCTGTCTCTTATTACCTATCTGTTTCAATCATGCCCACCCTCCTCCTCCACCACCATCATCATGCCCTAATCTTCTCACACTTCTCTTCTTCATTAACAAAACTTAACCCTAAACACACCCTTCGTTTCTACTATCGACTTCTCGGTTTTCTACGACCGTAACTGTAACGGTGAGATTCTACATAAGTTGGAGACGGAAACGAAGCATTCTTTATAAGGGTATAGAAACCTCTCCTCAATAGACGTATTTTAAAAAATCGTGAGAGACTGACGGCAATACGTAACGGGGCAAAGTGGACAATATTTGTTAGCGGTGGGTTTGAGCTATTACAAATGATATAAAGTCAGTCAGTGTGCTAGCGAGGACGCTAGGCCCCCAAGGAAGTGGATTGTGAGCTCCTCGTTAGTTGGAGAGTGGAACGAAACTATAAAAGTGTGGAAGCCTATGACGAGACATTTCTTATAAGGATGTGGAAACCTCTCCTTACTGGATGCGTTTTAAAAACCGTAAGGGATACGTAATTGGTTAAAATAGACAATATCTATTAGTTGTGGGCTTTGAGTGTTACAATAACAATGATTTCATCGACGTGAGAGTTCAACTACATTAAGTTGGATTTTCGTAGCTCGTTCGTTTTGAGTACAAAATGTCACGAGTTCACATTTTGTTATCCATACTACATTGGCCCTCCACCATGAAAATGAAACTACATACACTCTTCAAAATGATGCAAATTTCATGCTCGACATCGCATCGCCTTCTTGACTTTCTATTTTTTTATAAATAAAACCACTATGAGTATCAGTTGCTATGTTTTTTACTACTTGATACATAACACTCGGTTAAACGTTGCAAAGAGATTGATCAATCTTAATAATTGCTAACCTATACGAGAAATCGAGAGCGTCTAGTTTCATAGCTTATGATTGTGTCTAAAACCTGGGAAGCTATCGTGCTGTTTCTCAATAATCTAAATGTCTCAATTCCAAGCTATTCCTCATCATCTTGTCTCGATCCATATCATTAATCTATTATGGTGAAACTCCTAGAGTATAAAAAAAAGTAAAGTAAAGTTCTTGAATCTTTGTCGGGTTTCAAAAACTAAAAAATGAAAGATAATTAACAAAAAAAAAAAAAAAAAATCATGAAGTTTGTTCTTTTATTATGCCTTGTTTAACCGATAAATGCACAACTAGCAGATATTATTCTCCATTTGATAGGGAGAAATTTGTCTACCCTTATAAATAATGTTTCTTTCTCCTCCCAACAGAGGTATGATCTCACAATCCACTCCATTTCAGAGACACAACATCCTCGAGCACTTGTTCTCTTCTTCAATCGATGTGGGACCCCCAATCTACCTCTTTGGGCCAACGTCCTTACTGACACTTGTTCCGTTCTCCAATCGATATGGGACCCTCCAATCTATTCTCTTTCGAGGCCCAACATCTTTGCTGACATGCCTTCTCATATCCACTTCTTTTAAGGCTCAACCTCCTCGTAGACACATTGTCCACTATCCAGCTCCATATCAACGGTTCAAACCCACCGTTAATATATAACTTGCGGGCACATTCTCCTCCCAACGAACGTGGCTTTAAGCTAAACCACACCACACAAATGTCTCAAATCTTCAAAAGGAGAGAGAAATACAAAGGCTGTTGAGTTGAATAATATTTACCAGACATGCTCTGTTTCGAAAGATTTCAAAAGCAGAGACTTAATAATGACTCTTTGTTGCCTCACCAGCTTCCCTCTCTCTCTCTCTTCCTTCTCTCTCTAACCCATCCACTTATAAATCTCATCCCCTTTCATCCACTCTCACTCCAATCCTCTGTTCTACTGTAAATCCTGTTCTTCATCAATGGCGGATTCTGGTTTCGAAGGCTTCGAAAAGCGCCTTGAGCTTCATTTCACCGGCGATGAACCCATTATCCACATGGGTCTCCGCCAAATCGACTCGAATTCCCTCGAACAAATCCTCCGAACCGTCCACTGCTCGATCGTCTCCTCCGTCGGAAACCACTTCTTCGACGCCTACGTTCTGTCGGAATCAAGCCTCTTTATCTATCCGACAAAAATCATCATCAAAACCTGCGGCACCACTCAGCTCCTCAAATCCATTTTCCCTTTCCTTAATCAAGCTCGCAATCTTGGTCTCACACTCTGTTCTTGTCGTTACACCAGAGGCAATTTCATTTTCCCCAAATCTCAACCCTTTCCCCATTCCAGCTTCAAAGAAGAACTCCGTTGCTTAGAAGAATCACTCCCCAAAAACCTCCGTTACCGGAAAGCCTCTGTTATCCCTTCAAATCTCCCGTCGCATTCCTGGCATGTGTTCTCCGCCGCCGATGATGCCGTTTTCCTCCACCCAAACCCGGAGTTTCTCTACACCGCTGAAATTTGTATGACGGAGCTCGACCGGATTCTTGCCCGGAAATTCTACTGCCGGTCCGGCGAGGGAAAAACAGGGAATTCGGCCGGAAAGGAGATGACCCATTTGACTGGAATTGGAGACATTAATCCAAGCGGTTTGATTTGTGAATTTTCGTTTTTTCCTTGTGGGTATTCGATGAACAGGATCGACGGTGACCGGTATTCGACGATTCATGTGACGCCGGAGGATGGATTTAGTTACGCGAGTTTTGAGTGTGTCGGGTCGGTTTACGATGACCCGGATGATTTGGTTCGTATGTTGAAGAAGGTCGTGCAGATTTTCCGGCCGGCGTCGATGTCCGTGGCCACCACCGGCGCCGGCCATGAGGTCTGGACACGCGTCGCCGGCGCTCTTGATCCGCTTGGATTTAAATGCCGGAGTTGTGCCGTCGACGATTTTCCGGCTGCCGGAAGTATAGTGTTCCAGACCTTCACGGCTCGCAGGAAATAGTCCGCTGGCGTGGCGGAGGTAGATAAAGCGGACGTGGCGGTGACATGGTAGGTGGTGATTGGATAAAGTGAACATCTGGGTTTTACTTACGTGGAAATATGATGACGTGGTAGTACGCTGGCGGAATCTAATACGCTGATCATCATTGTGATGAACGGCTGGATGACGCCTAAAATTTTCCAGCTGGGAGAGAGAGGGTCGTGCATACTTAGCTTACGTGGAATTTTCCTCATTCTTTTTGTTTTTTTTTTCACCTCGCTATTTGTCTATTACTATTTAATACCTAGAATTATATTTTGAAAAATTTTCATTTTAATACAATATATTTTCTTTTATTCGTAGTTATTATAATTCATAAATAACCCCAAGCTTTTTTTCTATTAAATAATTTTATTTCCTAAAAAATATATAAAAGTTATATAATTATTAACTAAACAATAATAATTCAAGGTGAATTATTGAATACTTTTAATGTTTTTTTTAATAATAAAATAATTAAACGATTTTTAGAGTAACGCAACCAATGACTGAAACATCGGAAATTGTGGGCCTATATGGTAAGTTCAAAGATCTGTTGGGCCATCAGCCCACATAAATTTAACCCATCCCAGACAATGCCAGCCCAACTCATACCAAGCCCAATAAGGCCCATAAAAAGAAGTAATAGCTGAATGATTTTTAATTTTAGGCTAAATTAATGAAAATAAGAATATCATAAATTTTCAAAAATTTTAATAATATTTTTAAACTTTTAAAAAATTAAAAAAAATTATTACTATTATTTTGGTTTAAAAAATATCCTATATTTTTACCGTTAATAACATGTTTAATAAATACTCATAAAATTTTTAAGAATAGTTTAACATCTTAAATATATATATATAAAAAAATGTTTACAATTTTTTTTTTTAATTTTTGAAATAATTTTAAGCAAAAAGGATATTTTAAAAGTTTAAATGTGCTTTTGTTTTTTCCTTAAAAATAAAAAAATAAAAATTTTAAAATCTAAAAATAAAACAATTTCAATATATACCCTTTTCACAGCTGACATTGTCTCTGAAAATTGCAAAATGACAAAAACGTCCTTCCACTTATAAGATCAAATCAAATCATATCACCCACGTCTCGTTTATTGCAAATATATAGTTTTTTTTAAAAAAAATAAAAATAAAAATAATTTATTTTCCTCCTTTATTTGAAACCATAGATTTATTATTTATTTTTAAAAATATTTTCCTCCTATATTTGAAATTCAATAACCTCAAAATGGCTATTTAAAAAGGAAAAAAAAATTACCACAAAGGGTAAAAGAGTAATTTGTATTACAAACAATATATATGGAGTTACAAATAAAATTAAAAATGAAATAATAAATAAGATGAGATTATTAATATATCTTAAATCAAGTCACTTTAAACTAAATAATACAATTATTTAACATTATTATTAAAAATGATAAAAACATGTGCATAATAATGATTGGTTAATTAAAAAAGTGATTACTTTTAATAAATAATAGAAAGGACATTGGGAAAAGATTTGGAACAATAATAATAATAATAATAATAATAATAATAAAAATTGAGGAGAATCTTGGTGGGTCATTTTGGTCAATGTGCATGACACTTTTGGTCCCCCAACCTCATTGAAATGTAACCCTCAATCTCTCTCTTCGAAATAAGACACTAAGAAGCTTCCAAAACTTAAAGCCACACAAAATTAAATAAATAAGCGAAAAGGACGTGGGCATGAATTGTTACAAATGAGGTTAGAGCCAGACGTTGGATGGTGTGCTAACAAGGACGTGGACCCTGAAGGTAGGTTAGGTAGATTGTGAAATCCCACGTCGGTGAGAGAAGAAACCTAAATTGACAATAACGTGTATATATATATATAATATTTGATATTAATTGGTTGCTAAAGAATAAAAAATAAAAAATAAAAAAATAGAAAGGAAGAAAATGGGGTAATGAAAGAATAAGTTAAGAGGAATATTCAATTCTTGTACATAGTTTAATCTCATTGCCTTTACTCTTCTATAATTAAGGAACTTATCTTATATCATAAGCTTATGAATAATAATAATAAAATAATAATAATTATGTGATTTTATAGATTTTTTTAAAAAAATTATATTATTAATTATTATTAATATGTTAAGTTGATTTGAACATAAATATATTTATATTTTATTTTATGTATATGAATATTTTTTAAGTTTCGATATTTACTTATATATTTATATTTATATATAAAAAATTGAAGTCTTAGTCTAAGCCGTTTTTATTATTATTATTATTATTTTGGTTTAAATGAAAAATATTAATACATAAATTTGGTTCTTGAACAATGAGAATCTTAGAAGAGGTTTTCTTGCAAGAAACTTGTTCTTGCACGAATTTGGTTCTTGGAAGAGGTTTCTATGACACTGAGGCATCAAGGATGAATGTCGGCGACGCAGAATAAAGTTCTCGGGCCTTTGATTTGCGATTTCACCATCGGCATTGTAATCCATCGGTAGCCATAGTTTATTTTTCGATTTGTTTGCATTAGAATCCATGGGTTGTGTTCTTGGAAAGTGTTTAACTTCCAGTCGCTACCCGCGGCCTTCTGACGGCGATATGACCCAATCCTGCGATGCTCCGCCGTGTAGTTTAGAAGGAAAACATGTACTAACGGGAAGGTTATTGGAGTCTGTTCGTGTGCCTTCTCATAACTTCCGTTTGGAGTACTCGCTCCTGACCCAGCGCGGCTACTACCCTGATTCCCCTGATAAAGAAAACCAAGACAGCTTCTGTGTCAGTACACAAATGGGAGGTAATCCGAATATCCATTTATTTGGTGTCTTTGATGGCCATGGTCAATTCGGATCGCTGTGTTCTAATTTCGTTAAGGAGAAGATTGTGCAAATGCTATGTAACGATTCTAAATTGTTGGAAGATCCTGTTAAAGCTTATAATTCGGCATTTTTGACCTTAAATGATGAATTGCGTAGTAGTGATATTGATGATTCCATGAGCGGCACTACAGCCATTACTGCTCTTGTTCTTGGGAATACCCTTTACGTTGCCAATGTGGGCGATTCGAGGGCAGTAATGGCTGTTAGAGTTGGGAATCGAATTGTTGCCGAGGATATGTCCCATGATCAAACACCATTTAGGAAGGATGAGTGCGAGAGAGTAAAGCTGGCCGGGGCTAGAGTGTTGACCATTGATCAAATTGAAGGGCTTAAAGATCCGGATATTCAAGTATGGGGTGATGAGGAGACCGAGGGAAATGATCCTCCTCGATTGTGGTTTGCTGATAGCTTGTACCCTGGTACTGCATTTACACGGAGCGTAGGAGACAGTACAGCGGAGAAGATTGGTGTCACTGCTGTCCCTGAGGTTTCAGTAGTTGAGCTGACTCAAAACCATCTTTTCTTTGTTGTTGCAAGCGATGGAGTTTTCGAGTTCCTTACGAGCCAAGCTGTTGTTGATATGGTACAGTGCCTATCTGAAATCTTGAATGGACTTCACATTTTAGTATGAACTTTCTGATTTCAAATCAGTTCCTTGCCAATTATTCTTTAACAAAATCTTCACTTAGGCTGCAAGGTATACCGATCCACGGGATGCATGCTCAGCTATTGCTGGAGAATCATATAAGCTATGGCTGGATCATGAAAACCGGACAGATGATATAACAATCATCATCGTTCACATCAAGGGCTTCTCTAGTGTATGAAATTCTGTCCATATCCGTTCCATCGCTCTTATTTTTAGTCATTTGTTTCTTTTGCAATTGTGGAGCTTGTTGAACGTCTGTTGTTAGCCTCTGTACTAGTGAGGGGGATATGTTACTGAATATTGTGCGTGATTGGGTTTCAAGTGCTGAATTGTCCAATGGCCAATAATTCAAGACTGCGAAAAGTTGGTTTCGAGTTATGACACTGTTTCATGTAGTACTAGTCATGTTGCCCTCTTCTTTGGTACTTTAAAGAGGGCCTAAATTAGCCAAGTGAAATTTTCTTATCCTTTTGGTTTAAGCTTCATCCTATTGCTGTAATTAGGTACTCTTCCATGCAATGCTGTTCATTTTTTCCTCTTCTTTGGTATTTACGAGGACTAAAACTAACTATGTCAAAGTTTATTATCCTTTTGGTTTAAACCTCATCCTAATTGTTGTAATCAACTACGCTATATCCTTTTGGTTTCCCTTTTCTTTGGTACTTGTGAAGATTGAAATTTTCTTATCTTTTTGGTTTAGAGTATTAATCACATTTCCCTCTTTTTTTTTTTTTGGTACTTATGAGGACTAAAATAGCTCATCCTTTGGGTCTAAACTTCATTTTAATTGTTGTTGTTAGGTACATGTTCATATTGTTCTATTCATGTTCCTCTTCTTGGTACTAGGACTAAAGTTGTGTGAAAATTTCTTATCTTTTTTGTTTAAGCTTCATCTTAATTGTTGCAATCACGTAATTTTCCATGCAGTACTAATCATGTTTCCCTCCTTTTTAGTACCTGTGAAGATTAGAACTACTTCTGTGATTTTTTTTTTCTTTTTGGTTTAAACTTCATGTGAATTGCTATAGTCGAATCCTGTTCCATATAGTTTTAATCATGTTTCCCTCTCTGGTATTTATGAGGGCTAAAATTAGCTATATAAAATTTTCTTCTTCATCCTAATTGTTGTAGTAAGGTACTTTCCATATAGTATTAATCATGTTTTCCTCTTCATCCTAATTGTTATATACAAATTTCTTATTGGTTTTAACTTTATCCTAATTGTTGCAGTCAGGCGCTGCTGCAATTGTTGGGCAGCATGGACTCCGCATAAGCCATGCAAGTTCAGAGTGGGGAAGCTCGGAGGCCTTTTGCTCCATTAGAAGTGATTTCTCAGATCCACAGGTCTCTCAGCATGTGGGCTTGATGAACAGGAACACAGCAATTGCTGTTCCATCTCTCACGCAGTACCGACCATTGGAAGTGGTGAGTATTTTGATCTCTTTTTAGTATAAAAGCTTTTAAAACCATTCCATACCTTCTTGTCAAGTTGTTCAAGCTTAACAACCTGTCATGTTTCTTGCAGTTGTCTTTTATATCTCTTGTAGTGTATTTCTTGGAAACTTCATATAATATTATTGTGTTTGGTAACAGGAAGTGGGTTAATGGGGAGTATGCCTTCCCCTAGCTGCTAAAAAATATTCTCGTTTCGCTTGTAACAAAGATATCTTATCGTCAATGTTGCTAGTCAGTCCTAACCACAAGAATATGTATGTACAAGGAAGAACATATTGCTGTCTCTCTATCTGAGAGTTGCTCCAAGCTAAAGCCAACGAAATTATTGTACACTTGGAAATGGTGGCAACGATGATAAATCGACGGTGTTTCTCATTGAATGGAATTCAGAGAGAAGGAAATCGACATGATGGTTTGGTTTGGTTTCTTAGATTCCTCATATTCCCTGGGTGGTTTATGAAGGCCTTTTCCTGAACTTTGTATATATGATGATATTGTACAGAGATTCTTGACCGCATTCTTGACTTTTACATGAAAATGTGTTGCTCTGAATGTCTGGTTGGTGATTTATATTATTATTGAAAAGCTCCAAACACACATGAATTAATATTGTCTACAGCAGTTCGGATGTTGTTTTAGATGTCCAGCCTTAGCCAGCCTACTATTGTCTAAAGAGTTGGTCTTGTTTTGTCAAATGACTTGACATACGGTGTTGAAGTGGCCAAACATGTCTTTGAAATTCTTAATATTGTAAAACCATAAGAGTTTCTTTGGCGAATTCACCAAAATCCCCTTATTTTCATTCCAGTGGAATTTATAATAGACTTGAGACATTTGTGATTTAACTAAATGCATCATAGAACAACTCATAAGGAATCAAAAATGGAAGAAAGAAGGCTAACACACTATAAGAACTAAATAGATGTTTAAACATGACATGGAATTTAACATGAATATGAGTACCTCTTAGGACTAAATAGATAGATAGATAGATAAAGTATCATTATGAAGAAAAATAAGGATTGATTTCATTGATTCTAAATCTTAAAGTATACATCAATATGCATCAACACAGTATGATAAAGTTCTTACAAAGTGCCGTACAACATTTCCTCACAAAATTCTACATCATCAATCATACTATTGGAAGAAAATTTACATAAACAAAATGAAAGGTAGGATTAGTAATAGATAGACAATATTTTTTCTATGGCATCCTGTCGTTTGTCACACTGATCCAACAGCTTTTTTAGTTTTGCTGCTTCTGAATACCTTGTGTCACTGGCAACAAGTTCTTTACCTGTACAATTTAGTTCCCGATCCGAATTAGGCACAACACTGTCAGAACTAACAAAACCGACCTGTCGGGTGTTGTTGCTACCATCATCGGCAAAATTTATTGTTGTAACGATAAGCTCACAAGGCCTACTATTTGACGTTATGGCAGCAAGAGGCTGGTGAGCTTCTGACAATGGTCTCCCCTCATCAATTGAGAGGGAACTGCAAGCTACTTCAATCACTTCATCTAAAAGTGGTTGGTTAGGAGTATAAGATGGAGGTTCCCTACTTTCAAGCCTAACGCTACTCACTACAGATGCTCCATGGCAGCAATCCACAATATTAACATAAGAGGACCTGCCAGCAAAATACCTCAGCCTCCAATTGGAAATCCGTCTAAAAATCTTCACCCAATGTGGAACGATGAAATAGCAGAACTTATGGAGCTCAAGTTTAGCACATTTTTGGAGCATAATATGAGCCTCTTCCATTGCAAGTTGTTGTTCCATGATCTTACTAGTTTGAGTCAGATAACAACTCAAGCAATTTTCTAGGTTATCTCTTAAGGTAGGTATCTCTTTTGCCATATTTGAGCCTTTAGTCAACCATGATATATCAGGAAAAGTTGGAAGCTTAAGGTCCATCAAAGCCTTCTTAAGTGGTTCGACATTTTCTGCCGAACTCCATCCTACAGGAGGCAAAGCATTGGTTATAATTCCGTGCTCATTACAAGACACCAACGAAGCTATCTCGGGGCAAGGCCAGTTCGAAGGATTTGCCTTAACAGCAGCTGTAATATCCGCAAGTGACTGATCCAAGGCTAGGTTAAATGCTGAGATACATTGGTTCGGAGAAACGTCTTTTTCATTCATAGAATCAAGCATCTCCATAGACAAATCTAAGTGGGTAATAATCAGGTCAAGCACTTTGACGCTGTGCAGAACAGGTTGTGATGGTGATTCATTTGCCAGCCACTTCAATCCTTCCTTGAGTTTCTCATCGCTCAAAAACCCCGAGTGCCTCAAATGAGGGTTATCTAAGAGTGAAATGACCTGAAAACTGCATATCCTTGATTTATCGATATCATATAAGCCGAGTTTGTTCACCAGCATGGATGATGCCGAGGCCTCATCGTGTAAATCACTCAGAATCAGAAGGGGCAAACAAGAACCCGAAGGTATTGACAACAGCAGCTTGTGGAGTTGGACTCTTTGAAGATCCAGAGGGGTGCTCTGAGTTGCAACAAATAAGATAGCACTTGCCCCCCTCACAGTCTCTGGAAGATTATCAAAATTTGCATGTTTAACTACGGATAAGAAACAACTTGAGTCCACACCCGTTTTGCCTGAAAGCCAACTCTTCCAAATGGAAAGAAAAGAAGATGAGAAAACTAGATCATTAGCCTCCGAGGGCATGAGCTTCGAAAGCAACCAAGAACCTGCTGAAATATGAGAATCTCCTGTACCCTGAACGAGATCACCAGCACTGTCCATCTGAGAGCAGACAACAAGTTTCCAGCAAATGCACTTCCCATTCACATTCTTTCCGCCCAAACTGCTAGCTACTACTTCTGAAACATTAACTACGGAGCATGACAGTTTCTGCCTTTTCCATCTTTCTCTCAGGATGTGATCAATGTCGAAAACACCAACACTTCTAATTTTCTACAATAAAAATGAAAGAAACATCTTTAAAAGTGCATTCCTCACTCATAAGATTAGGACGTTAGTTGCTATATTCAATACAAGTAAACAATAAACAAAAATCGAGTTAAACATTACACAAGAAATTCAAGAGTTTGACATGTAATGGAGAATACGGGTTCAATTGCCTTCTTTTTCCTTTAGAACTGTTGGAACACATGAAATAATTACACGAGTGTGCAGAAAACTAAGGACACCAGAAAACTAAACTAAACCAAATTGGCTGCTTCAACCCTTCTTCTATTGTATTCAGTAGTTTTCTTGGTTTAGTTTTTTTTATGAAAGAAAAAGAAAGAAAGAAAGAAAGGACCATAATATTTTGTTCAGAGCCATTTGGGGTTTTTTTTTTTTTTTTTTTAGTTAAAAAAAATGATCTGAGCCATATAATAAATAAGTTTTCATCCAACCCTCCCAGACCTCATATCCTAGGCCCGGATTGCGCCACCCCAGGCAAACCATCTATCAAATTGCCGATTACTCATGAATCTGTTTCATAATGACTGGCAACAAGACTGGGCTAAAACTGGTTCAAACAAAAACCGAACCCATATGAACCAAACAGATTCAGCTTGATTTGGATCAATTTTGAGAGAAAAGAAAACGCTTTCCGGCTAAACCATAGGACTTGGTTAGGTTATCACTTTTGTTCAAAACCAAACAGAACTGAGCAGTACACCTAGGAAACAGGAAAGAAATAATGGATTATGAAGTAAATGCAAAGACATAATGAGGATTTCATGTACTTGTCAACCTTACATGGTTTTTCAATTGGACTGGTGGTCCCACAGACAATGTATCAAATGCAGCTTTAGCGGCTAATAATCTTTGTTCACGTAATTGTTTTCTCCTTACAGCTCGGCGCCTCCATAACCTGGAATGAGAAACCCAAAAGGTGAGTTAGCATACAGAACAAAATTTCCTTCAAACACATGCCAAAAATAAGTCTGACGACCTTAAGATCAATTTGAGTCTTGCATCTGCAATTTCTTCATCCGGACAACCTTCTGTAACAATATCATGTTTATTTTCCTGAGTAGCATACAAAATTTCTTCATCTTCCATCATATTGTTGACTATGCTCTGTGGTTCGACGCTTCCAATTGCATTATCATTATATCCACAAACAGATATCTTTTGAGGCGATGCATCTGATACAAGTGGTAAAGACATTCCCATTCCAGTAGAAATGTTTCTAACTGGAGAGGTCACGAAAACACCATCATAACCTTGATTGCCTACAAATTTAACTTCAGTCCTCAATGGTTCACATGATCTGGGACCAGATTGTAGAAGGAGAGCACCATTCACCCCATGGTTATATTCATGCAATTGACCAACTTCTGATGTTTCAATCATTGGTTGCACTTGCTTGGGATCAATTGGAATCAGCGGATCATCAAATTCAACCATGTCTTCATCTATTTCATTCACGGAACTTTCTTTTTCTTTTTCAGGTGATACAGGACGGGGAGAAGTAATCTTTTCAAAAGAGAATATCGGTAGTTGCTTCTTAGTCATTTTCGATGGAATCTGTTTAATAGCACTAGTGCTCAAGTACTCATTTTTACTCTTCCATGTCAATGGGGTCTGTTTAGTAGCACCAGTGATCAAGTATTCATTTCTACTCTTCGGTGAGACATCGGTTACTATCATTCCTGACCTCTTCATGTGAACAAGTTTTGAACACTTGGTAGCAAAGTCCTTGTCACTATTAAGAAATGGACCTTCTCGAACCATATAAGGCTCTTCAAATACCTTAATCGAAAAACCATGATATTCTAAAAGGCCTTCAATATCTTCTTCCTGATATCAATGATTGAACAATTGCAAAACACAATCAGAGACAAAAAAACACCTCTCATTCTTGCCAAAATGATAGGATCTTAGCTGCATCAAGCGGAAGGAAATATACCTCCATCCCAATCCACTTACGGACATGAGAAATTGGTAGTCCTTGGTTATTCTGAACACCAGAGTGCAATGATGCAAGAGCCTGCGTTCGCAACTGATAAGAAAGATCATGTTAATAACAGAACAACTTCGGCTTGGTTTAGTTTAGTTGTACATTATTAATAAGAAAAAAAAGACAGGAAATGAAAATTTATGCTGAGTCAAAATTGCATGACCTTTTATGGTGACCTCTAAAATTTTTCACAGTAAGTCCTTAACTAATAAAAATTATTTACTGAGATAAAGGGCAACAAGTACGTTGCAAAAAAATAAAGATAAAAATATCACAAGTAAAAATGTTCTTATGGACTTGGGCAAAACAATCTAGCATTGGAAACTACATAATCATAGAAAGAAGTTTTCATAAGCAGAAAAGTGCTGACTTAAACAAATCCTTCGAACCAAAAAAAAAAAAAAAGAAATAATTTCATATTGAAAACAGAAGCAACTACTCTTAACTGCTACAAATATCGGTCTTCAATAATCAAAATTCTGAATAAAATGTCTTGACAAACCTTAAAATTCAATAATGTTCTTCCATGAGTAGAAAATCCACACAGCTCAAAAAGATATAATGAACAAAAGAAATATCATATTATTACTAAATGATACTGGTTCTACAATTTGTCAATCATCAAAAATCTCTTTCCACGGTTACATCTGTATCAACTCATAATACCAAACTCAAAGTAGCTCATATCATAATAAATCAATTCAGGTCCAAATTTCTTTCTCATTTCTTGGTTCTAGCTGGAGCAAGAACTGAAAGGCCAAAGTTCGGTACTTATTTGAATGAGTATATATAACTAAAATCTCTCATCTTGATATTCAATAGCCTGCTTCTTTGACACCCCAACTATTTCTCTTAGGTTCTATCCCCAACGAGGACCCTCGTCAGTTGTTTGGGAGGGGGCAGGCATGGAGAGTTTGTCCGTTGTTTAGAACCCTTAATACTCACACTTTATTCATACGTTAAATCAAACATGTAGGAGTGGGAAAAAAGTTCTGACAATGCTATCATCATCCACTCAAGACATTCTCAAAATTACAAAAAAAAAAAAAAAAAAAAAAAAAAAAAAAAAAAAAAAAAAAAAAAAAAAAAAAAAAAAAA